ATGATTTGAAAATACAGCGTGTTCAAAACGGTTGTAGAAGCACGTACGAGTACAATTATTTGGTCTCTACGGAAAATGCACGAAGTTGTGATACCAGCGCCACAGAAACCATGTACTCAAAAATATGCAGGTCATTCGATGGTCATGCGCTGACCAGTGGGGATTCAGTACATTCGTCCACTAACCAAATATAGCCCTCAACCGCTACCCAGTACAGAAACGGCCTGCTACTTCTATCACATCAAGATCCCACAGAAACAAATTGAATACACCTGATTGCAGGCACTGAATCTACGCGGGACATATCGGGAACACGAGCGAAAACCGTACTGCCATGAATGCTTCTATCGCTTGTACAATGGTCTGATCTATGCTCCGGATGAAAAGCAGGCCAAAATCGAGAAACTCATCTAGTTGACCACCTTTCAAATTTATGTAAATTTAAAGTTGTCACAGTGCTTTCAATTCTTTAATCTGCCGCCAAACTGGGAAATGAAATTCTGCAAACTTGCGCATTAGCTGCTGCTATTAGAGTAGGTTTTATTTTACTTTGATGGAAGCTGAAATGTGGGGTCGCCGGAACGGGGCGGAAATTTGGATAAGAAATGGCAATTCTGACAAAAAAGTAGTGAAAATGCACCAACGAACTGACCAGCTTTTCTGACACCCTCAGAAAGCTCGACAATTCAAATTGTAATTCAGGAATTTAGGAATCACAAGTCTGATCGAAGCAATAGAACAGTATGGCTATTTTTCATCTCAAACTTGATGTTGTATCAACCTAAAACTGCGCGCGTAACTGTTGTATTATTTGGATGGATCTGTAGTAACAATGATAATAGTGAATGCGAATGAAGATAGACAAAAAAGAAACATTATTGTCTGATAAACTCACTAATTATTGATATCCACAAGGCAGTATGGGCGATTTCCGAAGAGGTGGCATACATGCACCGAACAGACAATGGGTACTAACTGGAGGTATGCAGCATAACTTCAAAGAGTCTGATGGCAAAGTTAAACCCAACGTATAGGAGCATTCCAGTAACATCACTAACATGGATAACCACAACCGAATATCAAAGGAGCTTTGAAATTTCTTAATACTGCTAAATTACTATATAAGGTGGTGCTGAAGTTGAAATCCGATGAGAGGATTTTCTTCGCGCCGTAATGTTCGGGTCATATGCTTGGATGACATTCACGCTGATACAATTTTTATTTATTACACACAACACGAGCTACCAGCTGTGCTAACGGAAAAACATGCTACGGTCAAAACGGAGCTGAATAAAGCATCAAAATAAGTAACACTGGTAATATCAAAAAACCGGATTAATAGTAAAAATACCGGATTAATAGTAAATAATTAAAAATAAGTAACTGATTAGAACTGGGCGATAAAAAAGCACCGGTGAAGTGTTACTGGAATATGACACAAATGCAGGAGGACAGAGAATTATACGTAAGAAAAAAGCCTATGTTTCAAATATAAAATAGTAAAATTTACTTCAACAATGATATAACTAAACAAGTGGTGAATTCTACTTGTTCGGAAAATAAACTACTGTGAAAAGTCTGACAAAAATATGCTATCTTAAGAAAATCATATGTTTCTTTTTATCGTAATCAAAGAGCTTCTCCAAGCGATTAGGCAGGAAATGGAGGAACATACGACTGTTATCTACCGTAGCTCGAGGAATTTCACGATGCAGTTCAAGATTCTTACACTATGAGCAAAAGCATAGAAAAATCGGCAGCGAATAAACTGGAAGACCGCCCAAATGACCGAGGGAACGTGATATAACTCCCCTTCACAAAAATTACGAAATGAAGCAGAACATATATGCCAGAAGGAAGTATATGCATTGAGTAGTTGATATAACAAAATAACGTTTTTACAACAAAGTTTTATGTAAAGCCAAAAAATGAAACAGATGGCCAAAAACTGGTTATGAAGAGAAATGAATTGTTAAAAGTTGTTTAGGTAACAAAAGGAACCGGGCAAAAAGGTTACCAAACTGAAAGTCCAATGCAAATCTCTAGTAAAAATAACATGCCCATCGTACAGTACTGCCAGTGAATTAACAAAACCTTAAAAAATTCTAGCCTAGAACAACTTTCGTACATGTTGGAGCAGATTTTACTTAAATTCAGGACCAAGTTTAGACTTCGAACTTAAATTTAAAAAATCAGAACCATAAAAATTAGTAGACAGAAACGGACAACGATACTGAGCGCTACGTCAGACCCTTCAATTTGGAACTGTACCTCCAGCCAGTGGCCACCGAATGTTTGGTGAATATGCGTCACATTTCCGTCAATCGCATGCTTCCTCGTGGGTACCACTCGTTAATACTTGATGTCCTTCCGTTGCCGGCAAGAAAAACAGCAGGATTTCGTGCACACAGTAAAGCTTTGCGCGTCGTTCCCTTGACGGAGAGCCTGATATTATTACGGCCGCGCAGAGATACGCCAAACATGCTTCGCTCCATCGCTTCTTTTTCAGCTTTCGTCAGTGACCACGTTTCGCGTTCGTATGTCATTGCGTTTAGTGCGGTGATATTGAAAATATAAGCACGTATGATCCTTCTAGCTCGGCACACTGAAGACGACTGCAATGCTCTAAAATTTGTACCACACGAAATCCTCGGCTGGAGAATGTGGCGCTTATTTACTTTTTATCCGAGACAGACATAGCCGTTAACTTCATCCTGGCCCACACCGCCTTACTGTAATCTTGTCATAAGAAGCCCACACTGTCTTACTTTGCATCACCTCCAATTCCGAGACGTTTATTTCCACATCCACTTCCTTACTTCGTGGTTGAGCTCCAGCAGCATTTCATTTATTTCGCGAGGGTTGCTTGCAATAAAAATTATGTCATCCGCGAAGCGTAGGTGACTTCGCTGCTCGCCGCTGATCTTCATACATTCTGAAATGCCACTTCGAGGCGAGCTGTGAAAAGCCTAGACGAATACAATCAACTTAACTTACTCTTCTCCCGACTGGTATACAGATTGGAATCACTCAGCCTATGTTCGTTTCCTTAATAATTC